TTGGTAGAGTTGCCATTTTTACTATGTTGATCCTCCCAATCCAAGAGCAAGGGAGGTCCTTCCATTTTCTGGTATCCTCTTCAATTTCTTTCTTCAATGCCTTAAAGTTCTTGTCAAATAGATCTTTCACTTTTTTGGTTAGAGTTACCCCAAGATATTTTATGCTGTTTGTGGCTATCATGAAAGGTGACGCTTCTCTGATTTCCCTCTCTGCTTCCATATCCTTTGTGTATAAGAGGGCGACTGATTTTTTGGAGTTGATTTTGTATCCTGCCACACTAAAGGTGTTTACCAGTTGTGAAAGTTCTTTGGTGTAGTTTTGTGGGTCGCTTATGTACACTATCATATCATCTGCAAACAACGAAAGCTTAACTTCTTCCTTTCCAATTCGAATCCCCTTGATCCCATTATGTTTTCTTATTGCTATTGCTAGAAATTCAAGCACTATATTGAAGAGGTATGGAGAGAGTGGACAGCCTTGTCGTGTTCCTGAGTTTAATGGGATGGCTTTGAGTTTCTCTCCGTTTAATTTGATGTTAACTGTCGGCTTACTGTATATAGCTTTTATTATATTTAGGTATTACCCTTGTATCCCTAATCTCTCCAATACTTTTATCATAAAGGTGTGTTGAATTTTGTCGAATGCTTTTTCAGCATCTAATGAAATGATCATATGGTTTTATTCTTTCAGTTTATTTATATGATGAATTACATTGATAGATTTGCATATGTTGAACCAGCCCTGCATCTCTGGGATGAAGCCTACTTGATCATAATGGATAATTTTTCTAATGTGTTCTTGGATTCGGTTTGCCAGTATTTTGTTGAGGATTTTTGCATCGATGTTCATGAGTGAGATTGGCCTGTAATTCTCTTTCCTGGTTGAGTCTTTGTGTGGTTTTGGTATCAGAGTAACTGTAGCTTCATAAAAGGAATTTGGTAATGACTCTTCTGTTTCTATATTGTGAAATATAGAAATATACATTAAGGAGTATAGGTATTAGGTTTTCTTTGAAGTTCTGTTAGAATTCTGCATTGAAACCATCTGGTCCTGGGCTTTTTTTGGTAGGGAGGTTTTTGATAACAACTTCTAATTCTTCGCGACTAACAGGTCTATTTAGATTGTTAACCTGTTCCTGATTTAACTTTGTTATATGGTATTTATCTAAAAAAGTGTCCATTTCTTTTACATTTTCCAGTTTTGTGGCATACAGGCTTTTTTAGTAATATCTAATGATTCTCTGAATTTCCTCTGTGACTGTGGTTATGTCCCCCTTTTCATTTCTGATCTTATTAATTTGCATATTCTCTCTCTGCCGTTTGATTAGTTTGGATAGGGGTTTATCAATCTTGTTTATTTTCTCCAGGAACCAGCTTTTTGTTTCATTGATTCTTTGGATTGTTTTCTGTGTTTCTATTTTGTTGGTTTCAGCCCTCAGTTTGATTATTTCCAGTCTTCTACTCCTCCTAGGTGAGTTTGTTCTTTTTTTCTAGAGCTTTCAGGTGGGCTGTTAAGTCTCCAATGTGTGCTTTCTCTGTTTTCTTTAAGTGGGCACTTAGTGCTATGAACTTTCCTCTTAGGACTGCTTTCATAGTGTCCCATAAGTTTGAGTATGTTGTTTCTTTATTTGCATTGAATTCAAGGAAGACTTTAATTTCTTTCTTAATTTCTTCCTTGACCCAGGTGTGGTTCAGTAGTTGACTGTTCAGTTTTCATGAGTTTGTCGGCTTTCTGGGGGTAGCATTGTTGTTGCATTCCAAATTTAATCCATGGTGATCTGATAAGACACAGGTGGTCACTAATTTTTTTTTGTAACTCTGGAAGTTTGCTTTGTTACCGAGTATGTGGTCAATTTTTGAGAAGGTTCCACGAGTTGCAGAGAAGAAGGTATATTCTTTCCTATTTGGGTGGAATGTTCTATAGATGTCTGTTAAGTCTAATTGATTTATTATCTCTATTAATTCTCTAATTTCTCTGTTAGGTTTCTGTCTGATTGACCTGTCCATTGGTGAGAGAGGAGTGTTGAAGTGTCCTACTATTAGTGTGTGCGGTTTGATGGCTGCCTTGAGTTTTAGTAATGTTTCTTTTACGTATGTGGGTGCTTTTATATTAGGGGCATAGATATTCTGGATTGAGACTTCATCTTGATGAATTGTTCCTGATATGAGTATAAAATGTCCCTCTCCATCTCTTCTGATTGATTTAAGTTTGAAGTCAACATTGTTAGAAATTAGTATGGCCACACCTGCTTGTTTCTTAGGTCCATTTGCTTGATAAGCCTTTTCCCAGCCCTTTACTCTGAGTAGGTGCCTGTCTTTGTGGTTGAGGTGTGTTTCTTGTAAACAGCAGAATGTTGGATCCTGTTTTTGTATCCAATCTCTTAGCCTGTGCCTTTTTATAGGTGAGTTGAACCCATTGACATTAAGTGATATTAATGACCAGTGGTTGTTAACTCCGGTCACTTTTTTAGTAGTAGAGTTTGTGTGTTTCCCTTCTTTAAGTTGTGCTGGTGAAGGATCTCTAGATGTCTGAGTTATTGTGGTCATTGTGGACTCCTTGGTTAGTGATTTTCCTTCTATTACTTTCTGTAAGGCTGGATTTGTGGCTACGTATTGTTTAAATTTGTTTTTATCCTGGAAAATTTTGTTTTCTCCATTTATAATGAATGAAAGCTTGGCTGGGTATAGTAGTCTGGGCTTGCATCCTTGGTCTCTTAGTTTTTGCAGTACATCTATCCAGGACCTTCTGGCTTTCATGGTTTCCATAGAGAAGTCAGGTGTAAGTCTGATAGGTTTACCTTTATAAGTAACTTGGCCTTTTTCCTTTGAGGCTCTTAATATTCTTTTTTTATTCTGTATGCTTTGTGTTTTATTATTATATGGCGAGGGTATTTTTTTTTTTGATCCAGCCTATTTGGTGTTTTGTATGCTTCTTGAACCTTCATAGGTATATCTTTTTTAAGTTGGGAAAGTTTTCTTCTATACTTTTATTAAATATATTTTCTCGACTGTTGAGCTGTACTTCTTCTCCTTCTTCTATTCCAATTATTCTTAGGTTTGGTCTATTTATTGTGTCCCATATTTCCTGAATGCTTTGTGATAAGAGTTTGTTGGACTTGCTGTTTTCTTTGATCAGTGTGTTTATTTTCTCTATGTTAACTTCAGAATCTGAGTTCTTTCTTCTATCTCTTGTATTCTGCTGGTTATGCTTGTTTCTGTAGTCTCTATTCGTATACCTAGATTTTCCATGTCCAGCCGGCCCTCTCTTTGTGTCTTCTTCTTTGCCTCAATTTCAGTTTTCAAGTCTTGAACTGTTTCCATTATCTGTTTGATTGTTTTTCCTTGGTTTCCTAGGGTAGCATTCACTGATTTATTCAGTTCTTCAAACTTTCTGTTATACTTCTCATCCATTTCTATAAGGGCGTTTTTTACATGCTGTTTAAGCACCTCTATCACTTTCATAAAGTCAATTTTTTTCTACTTCTTCTTGATTAAGGTGTTCATGTCCTCCTGTTGTGAGGTCGCTGGATTCTGGTGGTTTCATGTTGTTTTTCAGATTGTTGGGTGAATTCTCACATTAGTGCCTGCCCATCTCTTCCTCTGAATGCTCCCCTATGGATCTTCTTTTACAGGATCAGGTCTCCTTGCCCACTGATGTACCTTCCCAGTGATATCACTCCTCAGTGATGGCTCTCCTGGTGCCTAGATCAGATCTCTGTGCTGCTTGGGTAGCTCGTAAACAAAGGGCCTACCTTGCTTGCTGCAGGCAGGCTATTGAGACAAAGGAACTACCGCCCTCCTGGTTGCCCTCCTGATTCGGATTCAGTCCCAGCGCCCGAACAGGCTGAGCTGAGAGATGTTATGTGGCCGAAGAGGGGAGGGTGGCAGACGGGGGAAAGGAGGGTTCTGGATGCAAGCTGGGTGGCATAGGAAGAGAGAGGAGGTATAGGGCAGTATAGCCTCTGCAGGATGACCAGGAAGTGTAGGAGGGATGAGGAACCTCTGAGTTCCCTGTTCCGGGCTGCTGCCGCACTCACCCCAATGATGGCTCTCCTGGTGCCCAGATCGGATCTCCATGCTGCTTGGGTAGCTTGTAAACAAAGGCAGACAGGGCCTTTTTGAACTGCAGGTTCTGTAGTCAGCGACTTACTCAGTTCTCCTGTAAGACCTCAAACCTGTTTTGACTGGGTTCCTATACTCAAGGAAACTGAGAGATGAGAAGGAGAGAGCGGGGGAAAGAAAGGTGCTAAGGCAATAGAAGGATGTGGGCACAGGAGAAAGATGCTAAGGCAACAGAAGGATGTGGGCATGGGAGGAAGATGCTAAGGCAATAGAAGGATGTGGGCATGGGAGGAAGAAGCTAAGGCAATAGAAGGATGTGGGCACAGGAGAAAGATGCTAAGGCAATAGAAGGATGTGGGCATGGGAGGAAGATGCTAAGGCAATAGGAGGATATGGGAATGGGAGATGGGGAAATGGAAGATAAGGAGAGGCAGTTACATTTAGAGGTAAGGATTGTAGATCTTCATTATAGGCTCAGGAGGAAGTACATTTGAGAGAATCCAATAGAAAGAGACTCTCAGATCATCTCTGATGCCCATGGCCATTTGTCACAGTGCTCACACCCTCCCAGGTACCTCTTAAGGCTTGTCTTGGTTCTAAAGGGGCCCTCATACAGTTGGTAAAAAGGGTAAGAAAGAGGGAGACGAAGGGAGGCAAGACTCTTCCCTCGAGGAAGGGTCTATGTTCCAGGGCTCTGCTGGTACCCACTGACAACCACTGTGAGCTCAACCACTCAGTGGAAGGAGGGTTTGAACTTCCTAAGACCACAGGCAAGATGCTGTCTGTGACCTGGTGATGATGAACCGAGGCACTCTCGGTCAGTCAAGTAGTCTGTGCTTGGGCCTGTCTACGCAGGAGTGAGATCCTGTTTCTGTTCTGACTATAGACTTAACTGGATATGTAAATGAAAGCTGGAAATGAGATTGACCAAACCAGCCTTTTGCAGATTAGGCATTAATATTTTTATTGTTCTTTACCACAAGTTTTATGAAGCCATGGAAATCTTCCCAGACAAGAAATGCTGTGGGTCTCTGAGAGGGCAAGTGGAAACACTGACGGAATTCTAAGTTACAAAAGGCTCCAGGCAGTTCAGCGCCAACAACTGAGCCTTTGGTTGTAGCAGCTGAGGCGCAGCTTCCGTTTTGCTGGGCAGAAGGTTGTGGCTGGACCAGAGGCTGGCAAGGCTTCTGGTGACCTGAAGACAAGTTGGCCAGTATATCAAGGGGAAGTGAAAGAGTTGGGTTGTGTCTTAGACCTATTCTTGAGGATCTGATGGCACCAGGGTCATGTCCCTGCCACCGTCACGTCACTGAGTCTTTGTGTTCTGTGTCCCCTTGTGCTGCTCCACTAGTGACCCAATCCACTCCGAAGTTTTCTCCCTGGCTTCCTCCCAGCTGACAGGTGGCTCATAGCCCAGATCTCGCTGAGCTTTCTTGTAGGAGAAGGTGAACACACTATTTAACAGTGTGACCACATAGCGGGTGAAGGGAGGCTGGTATGTATAGACTGGACGCAGCAGGAAGCTCACTACTTCTAGCAGGAAGGCAAGCCAGTACAGCAGGGGCAGGGGAGGGCTCCAACCAGAATAGAGGCGGAGGCCCCAATCCTTGCTCAGATTGTAATATAAATCATCATAGCTTTGGTGAGGAGTGTCATCTGAGATGTAGTAGAACTGTCCTTGGATGTTTGGTGACTTCTTGGGGTCTCGTAGGCCCCTGGCAGCCAGAACATGTGCCCAGGCCCCATTGCTCACATACACTGAGTTTGCCACAGAGAATTTGGAAATATGCCAAATAACGCCATTGTTTTCGAGTGCTCTATTCATTAAGCCCAAAACTGTTTGGCTTCCTTCTCCATAGATGAATGGGAGTCTTAAGGCACAAGTATGTAAAGTGCCGCCATCTTTCAGGGTGCACCCATTGGCTGCCAGCACTGCCTTCTCAGCTATCTTCTTGCTGTATGGATATGGATCAGACCACTTGCTTTCGTGATTCTCTTCCTCGCAGGCATTCCGGATGATCTCCTTGTAGGAGTTTGGTCCAGCCACGGACATTGAGCTGCTGTAGATGAAGACTGGAACACTGGCTTCCACACAAGCATCCAACAGGAGCTGAGTACCTGCTCACAGAAAGCTTGCCATTACCGACAGGAAATAAACCAAAGGGCCCATTGTAGCTATGGCATCAGCTTCATCTCCTTTTCAACCCCACTGGAAGGGCCGCTACAGACCCAAATGCCTTCTTACCTGATCTTGACTCAAATCGCCATTCTATAGCCATAGAATAACCCTAAAATTAGATTCTGGAAAACAGAGATTTCTAGCTTTCTGAATTCATAAAACTCTCTCTCTGTCTCTGTCTCTGTCTCTGTCTCTCTCTCTCTTTCTCTCTCTCCTCATGTACTTACTTTTCAGTGCTCGGGATCAAACCTAGGTTCTTCCTTATGTTAGACAAGGCCTGCCCCACTGAGCCACTGAGTCTTAGTTTGCTTTCTATTACTGTGAAAGGGTTTATATATGGCTTAGATGTTCTCATAAGTTTCACTGAGGAAAGTCACCCCAAGAACAAAGGCAGAAACCATGGAGGAATGCTGTTTACTACTTTGCTTCCCTTGTGCCCAGCAAGCTTACCCATAGAATGCAGGACCACCTGCTCACAGTGGCCCCGGGCCCTCCCATATCAATCATTAATCAAGAAAGTAGCCCACGGATATCCTCAGAGGCCAATCTGATGGAAGCAACTCTCCAGTTGAGGGTCCGTCTTTCCAGGTGGCTGGTATGTTCCAAGGAGCTACAAACTAAAGCCAGCATCTTCATTCTGGAAAATTATTCCTTTCTGTTTTCTAAACACTGGCATCAATAAATTCCCATTTACTTTGGGGATGTTGCTCAGTGGTTGAGCCTTTGCCTTGTGTTGAAGGTTTGATGCCCACCAGCAACAACAACAAAAAAGTAAAAAAGATGACTCCCCCAAATAAAAGCAAACAGTTACTTATGTTCATGCATTTCCTTTCATTAAAGGAGGGCCAGCTTTTAATTCAAAAATTCAAGACACATTTTCTCAGACATAGTACAGAACTTTCAGCATGGCCACTCAGGTATGCACATATAAGCAATATGTATTTTTATTTTACTTTTCAGGTAGAGTCTCTTGACTGTGCCATCCAGACTGTCCTGGAAGGTATGATCTTTCTGACTCAGCCTCCTGAGTGCTAGGATGACAGATGGGCACCAGTACCCCTGGGGATGCAGTATACACTCACAATTAGACACTAAAGGCTGGTATTTTTTTCTCATTTAGTAAAGACTAATTCAGTATTGAGAATCCTAGTATTCCCAGCACCAGCCTAAGTGCAGGGTATGAGCGAAGAAGCTAGGTAGTACTCAAAAGGATTCCTTTTGAGTTGGTAATGGAGAATCCCCAAATAATTCGTTGATTTGGAAAAGGAATCGGAGTCACTAAATCTGGAGGTCACCTGGAGCATACATGCCAGGCAGGACCTCGGAGCACAGTGGTACTAAGAAGACTGACTTGGGGTTGGGGGGCAGTCAGAGTGATCGTGTTATATGGTAAAGTCCTTATTAAAGTATATTGGAAACGACTTTCAGAGGCACTAAGCGTTTAGGGATGGGGATTTGAGGAAGACACTGTGCTCTGGCTAGGACCAGTCTTCAAGAGGAGATTGATGCTGATCTGAAGAGATGGCGTTGTGGAAATTGAAAACTGTTGCTTTTAAGAAAACAAGTGCTGGGTTATTTTTCTTGGCAGACCCCTGTGGAGCAGCTGTGATGGCTCTCTACAGAGGAAAGGCCAGGGTCTGCTTCAGAGAGGCAGTGGGTGGATGGACATCGAACATTTGGAGATGACGTCCCCTCACTTTGGCAGGGAGGAACAGTAGAACTTCCCTAGCAGTCAGAGTGTCATGGCTGTGACTTTATGTCTTTCCACTCCTACTGACTGCCTGTGGGGCCACTGTTCCCTCCTCGCTCAGTCCAGTGTCTTCTTCTAAACACCATAGCCCCGAGTTCTGCTCGCTGGGCTGGCAATCCGAGGTAACCCAGAGCAGGGCAGGTGTTCCATGGTCAGCATGTCCCTTCCTGTCCTCATGCTATTTGGCCATTCAGATTTTCCCACTCACTCCGTATCTTCCTGAGGTACTGTACCTTTCAGATTGATATCCACGATGGTCTGTCTGGGAATGACACCCAAGACGTCAACGGCAGCCGCGGTATGAATGACAACAGAGATGCCCTGGCAGGCTCTCCGTAGGCACTGGGCATCCAGAATGTCTCCCTTCAGCACGGTCACCTTGGCTTTTGTCTGCAGCTCTGAGAAACACAAAGCAGCTCATTGGGAAACCCTCCTGCTCGGAATGGAAGTTTCCTGACACAGTGTCAGTTGCCCAGGCCTTCAAGGGCAGCCAGAGCGAGGGGATCCTGGGGAGGAGGCCTTTCTACTGAAGGAACAATAGATACACAGCAGTCAGAATGCAGCATTTGGAGGGAAGGAGGGAGCATCGTTTCCACCCCCATCCTTTTGTGGAAATGAATCCTTGCAGGAAGATGTCATTTGTGCTTTGCACATGAAAACAGAGTTATGGAAATTCATGAACTCATTAAACCGATTGGAGAAGTGGTGGTAGTCAAATGTAAAATGGGAGAAATAGGATTTGATTGACAGAGAAGGGGAATCACTTGTGGATTTGGACTGAGGGAGAAGCAGAGGCAGAGTCTGCGTGGGAAGCTGTAACAGCGGTTTCAGGTTGTGAATATCCAGGCATGAAGACGTTAAGAGTAACCCGGACCCGGAACAGGTTACTCAGAGTGTGTCCTCCAGAGCTCCAGTGAGGAGGACCCAAAAGAGGGAGGCACAAAGATGGAAAATTCAGGCCCGCCCTGATAGGACTCGATGCTTTCTGGGTCTGTGCTGAGTCCAAATGGAGAGTCAGCTCAATAACAAGGGGAAACTGGATGGGCAATGAGAGAATTCAGAATGGGCTCCAGTGAGGGTTTAGGTGAGTATTTCTTATCAGATAGATACACTGTAAATGAGGCCTCCTCCAAGGGACCGTACTACATTAGGAGCAATGGATTACCTTCAGGTTCCTCTCAAGTTTAGAGGATGATACCAGCAATCACAATGCCACCTAAGTTAGTTCACAAAACTGACAGTGTGCCCCATGCAGCCTGTCCCAATGCCCCACACTGGTTCGAGCTTCATAGTTTATATATGACTTTCTCAGTCTGCTATCTTCTTTTCCGGCTACCTCATAAAGTCGGGATCCTGATGTCCCTGGCAAATGTTGGGGAAAGTGCAGACAGCTCCAGGGCATGTCTGCGGACACACATATTTCCAGGGATGGCTCTCTTGTTCCTCTGCCTCCTACCAATCCAAATCCATCCTCACTTCTCTGTGCATTTTAAAAGCAAGACTCCTTTGGAATCAACTCTCTTGCAACAATCAGGTCAACTGAATTTGCAAGGAATGCCAAAGACTACTCTGACAGAGGCAGAAGTAGAAATCTAGATCAGGAGAAATCCCTCTCGGGATAGACTCCAGCCTCTGCTGAATGTTTCTACTCTAGGCCCCCATCCCTTGTCAGGCAAGTCCAAGAAGGCCTTGAAGTAAGAAGGATAAGGGGAAGGCTTTGGGATGGAGGTAGATATCAGGATCTGAGTCTCTTCCTGTGTGCTTTTTCCTCTTCTCTGCTTTGCTACTGACTTTAGACAGACTGGGTCAAAAGGGCTGATATGCCAGGGCCGGAGGAGCCCAAACACAAGATAAAGTAGACTCACACGTCAGTTCTTTGGGGAGTCCTGAGATAGCAGGAAGGGATAACTTGAGTGTTATGTGGTAGAGTCATGTCTCACACCTTGTCCAAGACACCACGGACTTGGCAATTCCGTGCCACATCGTGGAGCTGATGTTGCTCTGTGGGGCTGCAGTAGAAGAACCCGAGAGAAGCTACCACACCCTAGCCTTTAAAGGACAGACCTCCAGACCTGGACGCCTACCCTTCCTTGTCTTATTTTAGCTGCAGGATCGTGGAGAAGTCAGTTGTCTTCTTGACCGTATGCGGCACCAACTGTGATTATCTCTGTTGAGCCTCTTTTACTGATCTACCTGTTTTTATTTGGTGAAAAGAGACCCCTCCCCACCCCTAGTACATGTTCACCAGCCTCTATGACACTTACTGGATAGCTCCTCCCTGTGTTTTGGAGTGAAGGACCTGTACAAGACCCTGATCTCCTGCAGCTCTTTCTCCTGAGTCAACATGCGGACGACTCTCTGGCCCAGAAACCCTCCTGCTCCTGTCACCAGGCAGCTCCACCTAGGCATGGTCAACACAGGAAGCAGACCTCAGAGGGAACAGGTGTGATGTCCGGTGACCCTGGGGAGGGGGAGAGAGAGATGCAATTGATTGGTACAGAGTCATGGAGTTTCTACTGTGATGACATAGTAGAAAAGAGGTGTTTCCTGACCACTTCCTTCATAACATCACTTCTGTGATTCCAGAGTGTGTGGATCATCTTCAGAAAGTCAGCAGAGGGTCAGTTTTGCAGCAGACACCAGGCGTGCAACCTCTAATTCAGATCAGCTCTGACACCGAGACACCTTTGGATCTCAGTGACAGGCTGTACTCCACGGTTGCCCCCCTCATATTAGCTGCCACTTCCAAGGCAAAGACTGTCTTACCTGTGCTTTTAGGAAACCTCACACACACTAGGGTCCTACAACCCTTCACTATGTGTGGCTAGTTTCTGCAGCTTCCCATAGACTTCAGAGACCCAAGCTTTCATTGGTTGGCTTCCTATGAAGGATGCCACCAAGGATATGGAGGAAGAGATGCACAGGGTGAGGAATGAGAAACCGGAACAAGACTTCTACATTCTTGCTTGATGTACCAACCTTCAAGATGCTGTGGGATGTCTTTCTGTATACTGTAAATATGTATTGCTCTCATTGGTTGATAAAAAAAGCTTCTTTGGCCTATGGCAAGGCAGGATAGAGCCAGGCAGGAAATTCAAGCAGAGCTACAGGAGAAGAAGGGTGGAGTCTGGGAGATGCCAAATAGCCATTCAAGGAGCAACATGCCAGGAGAATAATAAATATCACGGCCATGTGGCAATACTTAGATGAATAGAAGTGGGTTCATTTAAATGGAAGAGCTAGCTAGCAATAAGTCTGAGCCATTGGTAAAACATTTATAATTGATATTTAGCCTCTGAATGGTTATTTAAGAACTGGCAGACAGGAGAGAAACCTCCATTTACAGCAAGAATATCTAACTGTTCGGCTACCCAGAAGCTTAGGAGGCTGGGTCCTCCTGTGGCAATAAATAATGAAGACAATGCCCTACAGGTCGATATGATGTAGGCAATTTGAGATTTCCTCATTTCCGATGACTCCAGGTTATGTTGTATACAACCAAGGCTAATCAAACATGGCCAAAGTGTAGTCTCTCAGAATGTTAGATGTAATATTCCTTTATTATTGTTTTTTTTATAAACTTCTCTTTGTCCCAACTTCTTTGAGAAGCTCACAGGTAACTACATATCATGCATACACACATCTAAAAGACATCTCATTATTTATTAGAATAAATGACTTGTGATTATTTGTTGGTTGGTTTGTTTAGATTGACAAGAGTAGGCGAACAAATCACCTTCTGGTAGAAACTCTCTACGGCTCGTCCATTCTAGCCCATAGGTCCATGTGGCCAAGGATATTTATGAATGAAGCCCAATACAAAGTTGAGAATTTACTTAGAACATTATGAAAAGTTCTTTTCATTTTTTGATTCCATTGTGAGGTTCTTAACCATGAACTTTGTAGGTGAGCAAGCCTGGTTGTAGTTTCAAAAGATTGGACATACCAGCATGGAAGGGGCTTGCAACCCTTCTGATGGTTAAGGTGCATAAAGACCCCAGTGTAGGTCCCACATGGGGTGACTTTGCGGAGCCCTCAAGCACAGAGCACGTGCTCTCTCCACAGAGAGCACATACATTTCACCCGCTCACACTTCGAAAACTTCTTTCATATTACCTGAAAGTGGTGTAGACAGACCTAGGTACACACTGAGATTATAGAACTAGATGGGTGAATATTTTCCAATTAGATACATACCCATTCTTATAATACAGTAAATTGCAAAAGAGGGAACCGTAATACAAGAAGCCCATTGTAGGATGACTGTGAGCTTTTCTCTTCATGCCACCTACCCTCGCTTTTCCAACTAAAACATCCCTTGAGACTCTGTGAGTAGCTTGCTTTGACAATACCATATAGGAAAGAATGCTCAGAGCAGACAGGAATCCCGTCCCATCACATATGCAGGTACAGGACACACAGCTTGCTTGTACACAGTCTATTTGAACTTTTCAGCTTCCATGATCTTTTTTTAACACTTTTGTTTCCTTTATTGAAAGTACGTTCTTTTCTCACATAATATTTACTGTTTATGGTGTCCCCACCCTTTACCCCTGTGAGCACCTTCCCCTTCCCCTCTCATCTGGATCCACCCCCTCTCTGTTTCTCATTAGAAAGCAACTGGGTTTCTATGGAGTGATAATGACATGAAATATAATATAATAATATAAAACAAAAACCAACACATCAGAATTGAACATACAAACAGTGAAAAGAGCCCAAGAGAAGGCACAAGAAACAGAGACCCACTAGTTTGTACACTCAGGAATCTCATAAAACCACTAAATTAAAAACTACAATGTATTGCAAAGGACAGGATTTTATCAAACAAGTCTTTCACTTGCTTGGTCAGAGTTACCCCCAAGATATGTTATATTATTTGAGGCTAATGTGAAGGGTGTTGATCCCCAAATTTCTCCCTCAGTCCATTTGTCCTTTGTATATAGGAGGGCTCCTGATTTATGTGAGTTATCTATCTTGTTTCCTTGCTGAAAGTGTTTCATCACTTTAGGAGTTTCCTGGTGGAATTTTTTGATCACTTAAGTAGACTATCATACTATCTGCAAATAAAGATGTTTTGGCTTCTTTCTTTTCAAGATGTACCCGTTGATCTCCTTCAGTTGTGCTGTTGCTCTAGCCAAGACTTCAGGTGCTGCACTGAGTAGGTATGGAGAGAGTTTGCAATGTTGTCTTGTTCCTGACATTAGTGGAAATGCTTTGAGTTCCTCTTCATTTAAGTTGATGTTGGCTCTGGGTTTGCTATAAATTGCCCTTTTATGTTGAGGTATGTCCCTTGTGTCCCAGATCTTTTATCACAAAGGGTTGTTGTTTTCTGTCAAAGGTCTTTTTTTACATCCAATTAAATGGTTCTGTGGTTTTTGGCTTTCAGTTTGTGTATATGGTGGGTTACTTTTATTGACTTATATATGTTGAACCATTCCTGCATCTCTGAGATGAAGCCTACTTGATCATGGTGGATGATCTTTTTGATGTGCTCTTTGATTCAGTTTGCAAGTAGTTTATTCAGAATTTTTGCATCTATGTTCATGAAGGAAATTGTTGTGTAATTCTGTTTCTTTGTGGGACTTTATATGGTTTGGGTATTCTGTGTTAAAACTATCTGACTCTGGGCTCTTATTTGGTTGGGAGACTTTTGATGATAGCTTCTATTTCATTAGAGGTTATGGGTCTGTTTAAATTGTTTATCTTATCTTATGTATTGAGAAGATTCTTTTTCTTTATTTTTTCCAATTTATTGGAGTACAGGTTTTTAAAGAATCCTTATAATTCTCAGGATTTCCCTACTGTCTGTTGTTATAATTTTTCAGCTATAATTTTGTTAATTTGGATATCCTCTCTGCCTTTTGTTTAATATGTATAAGGATTTATTAATATTGTAGCTTGTCTCAAAGAACCAACTCTATGTTTCTTGGTTTCTTGTAGTTTTTGTTTCTCTTTTATTTATTTCAACACCAAGTTTGCTTATTTCTTGCTACTCCTGTTAGGTATTTTTCCTTTTTGCTCTAGAGCTCTCAGGTGTGCTTTAACTTACTAGTGTGATATTCTTTTTTTTTAAAAAAATATAGGCAGTTAGTGCTATGAAAATGCTTTCCAGAATGGTTTCATTGTATCCCTTATATTTGGATATGTTGTGTTTTCATTTCACTCAATTCTAAAATTTTTAAATTTCTTTCTTTTTTTCTGTCTTGTTTTTTATACAGTAGAGAGTTGTTTGCTTCCTTGAGTTTGTAAGCTTTCTGTTGTTGTTGATAGCCAGTTTTACTATGTGGTGGTCAGACAGGATACAGGGTATTATTTAAAAAAATTTTGTATCTGTTGAGACTTGTTTTTTGTTCACGTATGTGGTCAATTTTGGAGAAAATTCCAGGAGGTTCTGAGAAGAAGGTACATTCTTTTGTGTTTGCATGAAATGTTCTGTAAATATCTCTTTGGTTTCTATTTGGTTTCTAAGGTCAGTTGACTGAGCATTTCACTGTTTAATTTTTGTCTGGACAATTTGTCTGTGGGTGAGGGTAGGTTATTGAAGTCTCCCAGTATCAGAGTGTAAGGGTCAGTATGTGACTCAAGCTGTGGTAATGTTCATTTTGAACTTGGGTGCCTATGCGCTTAGATGTTAAGAACTGTAATATCCTCTTGGTGGATTTTCCTTTGATGAGTATGCCATGTATTTCATTCTATCTTATGATTAGTTGTGGTTTCAGGTCTATTTTGTCATCTATTAAAGTAAGTATACCAGTTTGCCTCTTAGGTCCGTTTTCTTGGAATATCCCTTTTTATCCTTTTATCCTGAAGTGATGTGTATCTTTGATACAGAGATGTGTTTCTGAATCAGCAGAAAAAGAACAATAGATTTTCATATCCATTCTGCTAGTCTGTGTCTCTTTCATGAGTGATATCATTAAGCAGTGTTTGTTTATTTCTGTTATTTTTTTTTGGTGATGTTTTGTGGCTTTCCCTCTTTTGTTTTGCTGTCCTGGAATTATATATTCCTTGTATTTTCTTTGGTGTAGTTAAACTCCTTGGGTTGGGGTTTTTCTTCTATCACATTCTACAGGGCTCAATTTATAGTAGATATTGCTTAAATATTATGGTTTTATCATGTAATATCTTGTTTTCTTCATTGATGGCAATTGAAAGTTTTCTGGGTATGATGAATGGGCTGGCATCTCTGGTCTTTTAGAAACTCTAGAACATCTGTCTAGGCTCATCTGGCTTTTAGAGTCCCATTGAGACATAAGGTGTTCTAAACAGAGACTGTGCTTTTTTTTTTCCTGACCACCCAGACCTGAATAATCACACAAAACAATACTAATTACAATACTGTTTGACCAATGGCTCCGGTGTATTCCTAGATAGCTCTTACATCTTAAATTAAATTTCTATTAATCTGTGTATCGCTATGAGGCTGTGGTTTACCGGTAAGGCTGGCTTCCTTCTCTTTCGACAGCTACATTGCATCTGCCTGATTCTACCTTATTTATCCCTGCCTTTAGGGAGAAAGTGACAAGGCTAGCCATTTTGGCACGAAACTGCTCTTTTCTGGAATGTTTGACTATTGGTATGCTGTATAAACTAGACATGCAAGATCTACAGAAAAATTACTGCTGAACTTGCCAGAACTGCACACACAGGTTTGGACCACAGCATGGAAGCTGCTCAGACAGGTTTGGAATGCAGCAGGAAGCTGTACAGACAGGTTTGAAATGCAGCATGCAGCAGGGTGCTGCACAGACAGGTTTGGAATGCAGCAGAAAGCTGTACAGAAAGGTTTGGAAAGCAGCAGGGAGCTACACAGACAGGTTTGGAATGTAGCAGAAAGCTGAACTCTAGAATTCCCCAGACTAAATGTGCTGGTAGAAAAGGCTTCTGCCACATTCTGGTGAAAGGAAGTATGTGAGTTGAATTAAGAATTCTAGGATTTCACTAGTTGAGCATAGACATATTTGTAACTTTGGAGAAATCTTTGTGGGTGTGTCTTTTAATTCCCTTTTGATTTGATGCTGTGAAACACAAACAAGCGACTTCCTCATACAAATTGGCGCCCATGTGGCCAACTAAAATCCACATAAAAACCTGAGAAAGCTTAAAAATTAATTCTAGACACAAAAGAACAGAGTTAAGCACAGTTTGCTAGTGGCATTTTCTTGAATGGGCTTTGTTTGCTAGAAGCAAGCAGAGGCATGGCTCCTTTAAAGGAAGTTTACTTGATTCAGTGTTAGCAGGAAAAAAGCTGCACTGTCTTAAAATGGGAACTTTCTGGGCCCTGCTGGCATGATCTCTGATTCTTTTAGGCAGGAGATCTTGATACTGAGCATTTGGATGGGGATTGCGAACACTCTACTGCAGCTTTCTTGATGGCAATGTGGACCAGCTGTGTGCCTGAAACTGGGGCAGTGTGTATGACTCTCAGAGCAATGAGCAGCTCTGCCATGTTGGAATGGGCATGGCAAGAAGGAAGTACTGTATGTAGCCTAGAAATGTCACAGCTTAGATTATTAATCACTTAGCATTTTGAAAAGTACTTCTGGTCAGAAAATAATTACAGATATATTATAAAGACAAGTCCAGGACTGGAGAGATGGCTCAGTGGTTAGGATCACTGACTGCTCTTCCAGAGGTCCTGAGTTCAATTCCCAGCAACCACATGGTGACTCACAAATACCTATAATGAGATCTGGTGCCCTCTTCTGGACTACAGGCAGGATACTGTATAAATAAATCTCAAAAAAAGACAAATCCAGATGAATCATAATGTTGGATAAATTTACATAGGCTTGGAAGAGAGAAGAAAAAGAGTATAGAGAGCATAAAATAAAGTTAATGCTTTAAGAAACAGGATAAAGTTTTTGAAGAGATAGAGTACAGACAGTTATATATTAAAAGGAGTAAATAAAAGTAAGCCATGTAAAGATGGAAAAGTCACAGAGAGTCTAGATTATGTATATTATAATATCTTCAAATTTTTTGACTGTAAAGGAGCTAAGTACAGAGAGATATTTCATTGTATGGGCTGCTAAGTTAAACCAACATAAAGGTGTCTTGATTCCAAAGTTTGAGCCTAAGGATATGTTGCTTTGGAAAAGAGGTTCTTCTTTTGTTTTCACAGAAGATGAGAACCTGTGTGTTGCTTTTAGACCAATATGGTTTGATAGACCATGCCCTCCTGAAAGTTTGCCGTGAACACCCTCAAAAAATTACTTTACCCATCTGCTGACTGAGATGAACCTAGCACACAGGATACACCATGAAAGACCTGATTAACAGTGCCCCCAAATGGCAGGAAGCAGTATGGACAGAACTATACCCATAATCCCAAATATTGTTTATAATTGTTTGTTTACATTTAAAGGGGATATGCAATAGAGATGAATAATTTGCATTGGTATGGATCTTGGTTTATTGATATAAATTTAAGGTTAATTTTGTTATATGAGTATGTATTTCTGATCTTGATTAAGGTATGTGTTCCTGTAGCTCATTTTAAAATGTAGTGTATAATTAAGAAATATAAGTTAATAGATACTCATCTATAATAGTCAGGCTTGTAGCCATGCTACTTAGATTTTCTAGATGTATAGAGATATATTTCAGTTGGATAGGTATTCTTTAAATCTTTCAGAGACCTTTAGAATATGGCATTTGAAATATTTAAGAAATTAAGACTTTGCATGACAATGAGACACATCTAATCCTGGCAGCAGCAACTACTTCAAGAAGATGATGGGCATCAAAAAGTCTCCTTATGGAGTTTGCTTCCTATTTGGGCAAGAAACTGCTCTTACCTAGACTGCTTAACTGGACATTCACGACCCGCAGGGAAATGACTTATGAAGTTGCCTAAGGTGAGATGGTCCTATGGGATTCCTGCTTCATGAAAGAGTCTGCCAGACATTCTGCAGGACACAGAAGAAAGTGACTGAAAAATTGCTAATATAGGTGGAACTGTCTTTGAAATTTCCTGCTTTGTGGAAAAGTCTGCTAGATACTAAGGGCCTGTGGGCTGAATATTGGATGCCCCAATGGTACAGAAGAACTTTGGGTGACAGTCCAGGTATTGAGATGTCTCTGTCAATTCTAGAATTTTGGAAGTTGCTCAAAATGTACTTCCTGTTTACTTAGGTAATATTATAACCTTCTGGAGTCTTTGATGGAGTTAATGAATTTATAGTTATAGTTTTCCTTAGTTATGATAAAAGATAAAGTAGATATAAATATTGTAACTGTAATTCTTGTTTGATACCTGTTTTGGTATATGTAATTTTACTGTGTTAAAATTAAAACCTTCTTTTTTTATTTAAACAGAAAAGGGGAAATGGTATGGGAGTTCCTTCTATCTATGTGTTGCTTTTATTGGTTAATGAATAAAGAAACTGCCTTGGCCTATAGATAGGGCAGAACTTAGGTAGGTGGGGAAAACTAGACTGAATGCTGGGAGAAGGAAGGTGGAGAGGGAGACACCATGGAGCTGCTACCAGAGTAAGACATGCTGACACTTTGCCAGTAGGCCATGACCTCATGGTGATGTACAGATTAATAAAAATTGGTTAAATTAACATGTAAGAGTTAGCATTAAGAATCTAGAGCTAATGGGCCTAGCAGTGATTTAATTAATACAGTTTCTGTGTGATTATTTCGAGTCTAAGCTAGCTGGGTGGCTGGGATGAGTGAGCAACTCCCTCTTACACATGTGGGTCCCAGGGACAGAATTCAGGTTACCAGGTCTGGCAACAGGTACCTTACCCACTGAGCCATTACTTTGGAGTAGCCTGAACGGTTATTTTAGCAAACAGGGATGGGGATTCCTTAGGATCTGTTAGTTAATTGCCTCTTTTCTTTCTTGGGCGTGGAGTACAAACTATAAAATTTATATATATTCCTAAGGAAATGGAAAATATGAACATACATTATAGGGTTTCTGATGCATTGCCTGTGGGCTACTGGAGGCTTTGTTTCACATATGCTCTCCAAATGGGGAGGTCATAAATAAAGTCTGTGCAGTCCTTTTGTTTGATTTCCACTAACAGGCAAGAAGAGGCCTGGGAGACAGGCCTGGGAGGCATGCCTACCTATCCTTCTGTCTGTCCTCTGACTGTTTGCCTTACTCCCTGCCTCTCTGACCTCCATTCCCCACTCATCTCACTAACCAGAAAATTCTCCATGTTACTCCTCCTCAGCTTTCCTTGAGAATCTGGATCCTTCCACTCCCTCTGCTCTGGTGGCTGAGGGTATACAGCCTGCCAACTCAGGATGGGAGTCTGGTGGTTTTCCCTTCAGAGTCCCCAGTGACTTACAGGTTTTAGTTCACTGCGGCCAGTCTGAGCTTTCAAAGTCAGCACCTCTGACTCACAGCATATTCCAACGTGCTTCCATTTGCTGCTGCCCCTGTGGGATGTAGGCAGGATTTACTCACTCTGCCTACATCTGGTGTCCTACTTGTAACAGGAGTTTTCTAGGTAAATGAACACAGACTGGAGACCATGATCTTTGTAGGTAGTTTGATGCTGTAATTTTATTCACAACACGCTCCACACCACAGGACAAGTTATCTGAACAAGGCAGGGTACGGATCCATACAAGGTTCCATAATGTCCTGAACAAATTATTAGCTGTGATAGAGCTATCTCATGGTTCAGATGTCTATCTCATTTATAGCCCTGGAGGAGAGTTCACTCCATAAATATATGGTGCAGCCAGGTGCAGGGCCTGCAATCCAATTCCGTGTAAGGGTGTTCCCTGGCAGTCATCAGTCTAGATCCTGGACAGCGAGAAATTTCACAACATCTAGCTTTTGATATTTCACCTGGGGGAGGGTAGCATGAAGTAGGGTCAGACACAAGTCCTGCGTCAGTTCCAATGTTCTCTTCATAGGTTAGCCATTGGTTATAATTTTACTCTTTTTGTTTCTTTGGGGTTTTCGAGACAGGGTTTCCCTGTAGCTTTTAGAACCTGTCCAGGAACTAGCTCTTTCAGACCAGGCTGACCTTGAACTCCATCTGCCTCTGCCTCCTGAGTGCTGGGATTAAAGGCATGTGCCACCACTGCCAAGCTTTGGTTAACATTTTAAAGCAGTGAAGACTCAGAGTTTAAGCATGTCATCATAACCTTTATGGAACCTAAGAGGGAAGGTGAAGTGTCTAGGAAGTGAGCAGGGCAGAGATGTATATCAACAGAGTGTGGTCTTGATTGAGGCTCTGACTTTACTGGGTGTCTGTGTCCCCACTGTGATGTTCAGTGGCTGCAAATGAGTTTAAAACTCACCATCACCTGGGAAACACGTAGAATTCAATGCAGGAGTGCTAGGCAGTCCTATAGGTGTTAACATTCAGCCCTCCAGTCAAGGAGGCCACTGATATCAGGGAAAGGGCTGAGTCCTTTCCTTTTCTGTCTCTCTCTTGAAAAGGCCTCTCCCCACATCTCCCCCTCTCCTTCTGTCTGTCCCCCCTTCTCTCTCTCTCTCTCTCTCTCTCTCTCTCTCTTTCTCTCTCTCTTCTCTCCTCTCTGCTTTTCCCCTCTTCTCCTTTCCCCCTCCATAACCTACTAAATAAATATCCAATCTCACTCTGCATGGTGTGCCTATCCATATCTCTGTCTCTTGCCTGCTGCCTCATGTTTCCCTGCCTGGAACCAGCCTCCTTTGGAGACCTGCAATGTTGTCTTGTGGCATGCCCATCTGTCTGTCTCTCCTCATGGCCTGCTGCAGCCACTCAGGGATCTGGGTATTTTTTTTTCTACAACAACCACATGTTCCATATACCTGAGCACAATTTCTACAGAGCAATTTCAACTTAACCATTTCTCCGAATATGAGAAATTGACCACTAAGCTCCTGGCAATTTTCTGTTGTTCCTAGAAATGGGGGACAGCCTCCAACCATGGATGACTGTACCCTTTGCTGACATTAATTTTTGGATTGCTTCACTTTCCTAAAATTTTATTTGGACAGCCTGGAGTCAGCCCTCCCATGCTAGCACTGCATACACTGTACAGTGCATTCAACAGGAGGCCCAGGGTTCTTTGGGTTTTCTTTCTTTTTTTACTTTGTCTCCCCCCCCCACCCCGTGTTGCTTGTTTTTGTTTTTGTTTTGGTAAAGGCTGCTCAGAATGTCCTTTGGCCCCTCTGGCTTCCACCAGAAGGCAGGAGACATTCTCCCACAGGTCCTGTGATGTTCATGGTGATTCACACCCTGCCTATAGTGGAGAGACATCTCACTGTGGGTCTTGTGATGTCAGTTTTTCATGAGTTTTCACAGTATCAGCTCTGGGTAGCAAGCCATCCATACCCACCCTGGGAAGGATGCCTTTTAGAGGTCCTGAAACCACAGGCCTTAATGCCCTACTTCTTCAGCTCCTATACTCACACTGCTGGTGTCCCACTGGCTATACTCTCATGGGAGCTTTCTAACTACTGTCAGCGCACAGGCAAATCGAAGGAGTTTCTTCAAACTGCCTCCACCACTACTACTGCTGCAATAAGAGTGGTTGGATCGATGAGGTGGCTGTTTTCAATTCCAGCCTTTCACTTTCTACCACAGCTTGTGGCATGGCAGCTCAGCAACAGGGCAGATCATGCTTCTAGGTCTTTCTTATTATTAAGCTTAAAATCCCCGCAACTCAAAAATTGTGGCTTTTCCATGCAACATGTGACTGCTGCCATTTTGACTGAGGTCAGGTGACCTTACCACCATCTTATCTTTGGTCAGGTGACTTTGCAACCATCTTGGCTGAGAGCCACGTCAGGTGACCAAGTTCTGCCATCTTTACTGAGGTATATCCTGCCTGGTTCCCCAGTGTTAGCTCTATTACATGGGTAACCTTACCACCATCTTAAGTGAGGTCAGGTGACTTCACTGAGATCCAGCTCAAGGGACCAAGTCCTACCATCTTTACTGAGGTATACCCTCCCTGGTCCCACATTTACTTATGTTTTTGTCTCTAAATTGCTCTTGTTGACTCTGTTGCATATGTGTTTTGTGCAGTGGCATGTCTTTGGTAGGGCCTACCAAGAGCATCCACCTCACCCAATCCCTGTTTACTCTGTGTGTATGTATGTGTGTTCATACATGTGACTTGAATGAGCCTATGTTTACTATTAAATGTTAGAGTTGTCTGTTCCTTGCATCTCATTTCAGACTACAAAAACAATAATCTCATGTTTTAAACTGGTATGTACTTTCAAGTCTCTTACAAAAATACTTTATATTTAATCCAACCCTCATATACAATCTATTAAGATGTCCTCTACTATTGCCAGTTCTGCCATTAATGTTCTATTGCAAGCAACTTTTTCTTCTTTCTGTCTTTTTATGAGTATAAATATTACCTGTTAAGTTAAAAGCCAGTATAGGCAAGCTCAGACACAGCTCTCCAGGCAGATTCTATACTGTAGTTATACCTGATAAACATCCCTCAACTGCTCAGAGATCTGGGATATATGGCATTTAAATATTTAATTATTAAAAAAAACTTTTCATAACAAAAAGAAACAAGTTGGCTCCTAGCAGCACTCTACCTCCTCCAAAGAAGACAGAAGACAAATGGGCACACAGAAACATCCATCCACAATTTGATCAACTGCCAAGCACTGACCACTGGGAAAAATTGCCTTTCCTTTTAAACTGAATATCTCCAGACATGGACAGAATCGATGGAATCTATACCTTACCTGCTCAGGTCAAGATAGGCTTGTCTTCCTACAGATTTTTAGCCCACAGGATTTTCTGGAGCCTGGCAGGCCTCGTGCTAAACAGCAAAAGGCAAATATGGCCTTCAGCAACCATGGAGGACCCTGAAGAGTTGCTCTAGGTGACAACCAAGTAAGTTCTCTGTCATTTTAAATCAATAACTCAAGTAAAATTGTATCCTTCTCAAAAATCTCTGATGCAGTTTGGCAGCTGAGAGGTTTTGTCAGTTTAAATGGGCAACCTCAGCAAACAAATTTCAGCAAAATACAAATACAAAAGAGGACTTACAAGTTATAAAGGTGTGAGCACAAATACGTTATCAAATTTCTCTCTCATGTTGCCTTCCATAGTCTTCGAAATACTTTTCATTGTGCAAAAATATCTATCACAGTGATTCTTACATAAATATGCTACTGTTTATAGAATGTATATGTCTAAAATTTGTTTTTCAGAAACCCAAAGAATTCTTGTAAGTTCCAGGGAGTGGAATTGAAGGATCCACCTTAAAAAGGTCAAATACAGCACCCTCTATTCCGTGGTCCTAATTTATTTTCCATAAACTTAACTTTGTCTTCTGTTCTCCCAATACCTTAAACAAACACCAGACATTCCCATACCACAAGCACTGGACAGGAGCAAAGAGACCAGCTATGTCAGGATGTGACTTGCACCCAGCCTTCTCGGGTTCCCCCCAAAGATGATGCCCACAAACAAGCAGGAAGCAGTCTTGAGAATCTGCTGCTCCAATTCCTTTAACCTGTAGTGCCTAACCTCCTGCCTTTTTAGTATAAAAATGAGATGGGAATGTAATGATCTGTCCTGTCCCTTCAAGAGACAAGCCACGCCCAGTCCCTCCCCTGTCTTCAGAAGCAAGCTTATCTTAGCTTCCAGTCTGAGTCCCTTCCTTTTCTATCTCCCTCTTGAAGAGGCAGCTTCTGCCTCTCCCCACTTCTCCTCTTCTCACTTCAGTCTCTCCCGTCTTGCTCTCTCTCTCTCTCTCTCTCTCTCTCTCTCTCTCTCTCTCTCTCTCTGACTCTCTGCTTTTCCCTCTTCTGCATTCACTATTTCCTCTCCATAACCCACTAAATAAATATCCAACCTCACTCTGCATGGCATGCCTATTCATGTCTCTGTGTCTTGCCTGCCCCCACATGGCTCACTGTCTGGGACCAGCCACCTTAGGAGACCTGTGGCATGGTCTCATTGCATGCCCACCTGTCTGTCTCTCTTCGTGGCTTCTGCAGCTACTCGGGGAACTGCACTATCCCTGCCTGGGACTGGCTGTTCACTGCCTGCCACCACATGGCCCACTGCCACTGCTCAGGGACCTGCAGCACTTCTGCTGCTGCAGCCGCCAGGGATCCACAGCATTTTTACTTTTGCCATTATAGCATGCCTAATAGGTCTCTGTCTCTCACCCACTGCATGGCTCCCTGCCTGGGACTGGCTGCCTTAGTGGCCCGCCATGGTCTCTGGCCCATTGCCCATTACCACCACTCAGGGACCTGTGGCATTTTATTTTTACCATAACAGTAAGGCCATAGGGATAGGACTGCCTAAGCCAGTTGGAACATACTGGACATGGAACCCAAGGGTCTTTCTTTATGGATATTGTCCTTCTTTCAGTCTTGCCTCCTGCAAATTCAGGCAATACTCATTTTGACCCCAATATAGATTTTGCATAGTTTTTGGTGCAAAGGTCTCAGGTGTTCTGCTGGCATCTAGACAGACCAGTGGGATGATCAATAAGTTAAAGAACAACCATAGTCAACAGGGAGAGGTCCCCTGAACCAGTAGGCAACTCTGTCTAGTATGCTGGAGATTCCCCAGAGAAGGTAGCCTGAGACAAGAGGAAGTGGTTAAGAAACCACTATAGGGAGTGGGTGGTGCTGCCAGAAGGGCTAGCCTTGGAGGAACTAGGCTGGACAAGGTGACCCAATATAAGGAGCAGGGTCCCAAAAGCCAGTAAAAGGGTCAGCTTCCCCTATTCTTTTCCTCCTTCCATATGCTTCCCTCTCCTATTTCTCTTATATATAGTATAGTGATTAAATGCTTTGGCTGTAGACTCCCAGCAACCTTCTGTTTCTTAATTCTCCTCATGATCATGCAACTTGCTCATGTTCAACCACACTTTAAATTCATATTTATGTTAAAAGAATTCTGCCTCTTCCCTACTTATGCCAGCTATTTGATAAAAATCTTTGTGTTCTCTACCTTATTTTTCCTCTTTATTCACTCTTAGTTGCCTACATGATCAGACATTTTTGATATATAGGTGAAATAGGGAATACCCCCTCAACACAGAAAAGAGCTGAATGACACTCACCAAAGGCATTTATGAGGGCAGTGCCCTCAACTATGGAGCACACATGGAGGTGGTGAACTGAGAAGCTTTGTATAGTGAGTAAGTGGAGTTGAGAAGTGTTAGCAGAATACACGCTTGCTCCTTCTCCTGTTGATAAATTGATATACACTGTTTATACATATTGGGAGCCAAATCTAAGAGCATGACTCCTCTAATTTCAGACACAAGCATTTATCTCAAACGTCCTTCAGGAGCCCTTCCCCAGACAGACTCGCTCTCTCTCACCCCTGTGATGAGGAGAAAATAGAACAGAAAACAATTAAAGGTATTCAAGCCATTGAGTCCCCCAGAACAGAGTGTAAGAACAGCTAGAGCAATCATTGCCAAAAGAGGTTATTGCTTGTCTCATGGTATAAAGATAAGTACGGGGGGAGCAACAAACAGGAAGCTTACTCATGGAACCAGAAACTTTCCTACAAGGCACAGAATTAGTTACTTTGTATTGCTGTCAGGAGACTTCACTGCCAAAGCAATTTACAAAAGAAAACATTTAATTGGACTCACGTTTTGTTTCCCTGGTTTGGAGATCTGGATTGCAGCAGGCACAGCAGAGAGAGCTCCCTTCTAGATATGAAAGAGGAAATAGAGGTTGCTATAGGAGCAGCAGCTGCTCAAATTCCACCCTCAGAGACACCTCCTCAAAGAAGCCACATACCCTACTCCCTTATCAACATTTCTACCAATGGGGACCAAGGATTCAAGCATGTGAGCCTGTGGAACTGTTCTCATCCAAAGTCATCAAAGCTGTCAGGCTTCAGCACGGCTGTTTTAACAAGGTCTCTCTAATCAGTAATACCGGGGTCTTATTTGAGATTACGTTTGCTTTCTCTCTCACGTGGGCTACTCTTGTCCTTCCTGCTGGGTAATGTAAGCCCCTGATTTGATGATGTTTCTTTGCCACTTCTCTCTACTTGGCTACTTTTTATTTGTAATTTTACTCTTGCTAGCTCTATAGAAAACCACTCATTTCATACTGAAAGAGCATTTCACTATATGGAACATAATTGATGTAGTTGTCAAAATCAACAAGATGATGTTTCTGTTTTTGAAGATGTTATTATAAAAAAAAAGGGGAAAATGAAGAGTTAAAGAAAGGAGTATGTCTGACAATTGCCACTGTGCGGCTGAGCTGGGAACTTGACAAGTGATCTGTGGGTGTAATGTGATGATTAAAGCCTCACCCCATGGAAACTTGGCTTTCATTCCCAACGGGTAGGAAAACAATGGGAGCAAATCACTTTTTAAAACTTCAACAAAGGGTTAACATGTAAAGATTTGTTGGCTCTCTGTATTTTTTCTTCTGCTTTTTCCTGATTGCAGAGTTCACTGTTCATGTTTACTTGGGAACTTCTTTATCTTAGCTGGCTCGAGCTCAGTGTGACATCTTGCAATTATCAGACTTTTATAGGAGAAATCAATGTGCGAAAAAAAAACATTTAATGAAATCGAAGCAGCAGCAAGGTTTGCCTAAGGAATTGCAATAGGCAAAACTTTTATAGTTATCAGGGTCCGATGCTAGCCCAGACCCTCAATTATTTCTCTCGACCAGACCCCAACATAAACTATCTCTCTCTGGACCGGGGTGGAGGCACGGAAATAAAGACACAACTCACATGGTTTTATCGGGAGGGAGATTCTCAGTGGTCTCTCATGAAGTCCTGAGTTCACATCCTGAAGAATTCCTCTCACTTTATTCTCCAAACAGTCTTTATACCAAAACTTAACTTAGGGGAAATATATTAGCATTCTGTCTCCTAGGTAACCAGGTGAATGGCTTTCAGTCATATCCACAACTCCCTGTCTGCTGTGTATGCTAGCTGTCACATAGGGTTTTTTTTTTTTTTTTTTCGAGACAGGTTTCTCTATGGTTTTGGAGCCTGTCCTGGAACTAGCTCTTGTAGACCAGGCTGGTCTCGAACTCACAGAGATCCGCCTGCCTCTGCCTCCTGAGTGCTGGGATTAAAGGCGTGCGCCACCACCGCCCGGCTGTCACATAGGTTTGAATTAGCATTTCTATCAGACATCCTCCAAATTACAAAGAATGAGCAACAACATTCTGACCTTTTGTTAGGCTGCAACGGCTTGTCTGGTAGGCTATGTGTCCATCCTCAGGTTGGGCCTATGGCTTTAGAGCCTGGCTGCCACACCATATAGAAATATTGGCCTATGGCGCACGCCTTTAATCCCAGCACTCGGGAGGCAGAGGCAGGCGGATCTCTGTGAGTTCGAGACCAGCCTGGTCTACAAGAGCTAGTTCCAGGACAGGCTCCAAAACCACAGAGAAACCCTGTCTCGAAAAACCAAAAAAAAAAAAAAAAAAAGAAATATTGGCCTACAATCCAGTCTCTCTTATTAATTTTAATAAAACCTGTGCTTCTGCAACAGGATAGAATGATCATGCCTGGCTTGGGCAAGGTCCTCTTCATTTACCCAAATTTTTCCATCTTTGGAACAGGCATTCATATATGTGAGCTCCTGTCCTAGGCATCTGGGGAAAAGAAGCTTCAAACCCATCATTGACTGCTGATCTCTGAGAAGAAAAGAGATTAATGGAGAGAGATACTTTTGGGCCCTGTGTCTTAGAGCCATACTTTCTTGTCAGGATAAATTATAATACTTTAGGAATAATCACGCTCCCAAAGGCTACAGTATACTACTTAAAGGAGAAGAGAACCACCTGAGTTGAGAATGCTTCTTCAGCTAGTTTATGCAGCTCTTAAATCTTTTGATTGTATCAAAATCTAAAATTCTTAACATATGTACTAACTCCCAACATTTACAGGGTGTGTCAAACTTTTCTTGGCAGTGGAAAGGTCAATATCAAAATTCTTAGCACTGTTGGTCAATACCAACTTTCCAAATATCTTTATCAGTACCGTAATTCTCAGTATTGTCAGTCAATACCAACTTGTTTCCAAGTATCTTTGCCAGTACCATAATTCTCAGTATTGTCAGTCAATACCAACTTGTTTCCAAGTATCTTTGCCAGTACCATAATTCTCAGTATTGTCAGTCAATACCAACTTTTCCAAATATCTTTGCCAGTACCATAATTCTCAGTATTGTCAGTCAATACCAACTTGTTTCCAAGTATCTTTGCCAGTACCATAATTCTTACTATTGTCAGTCAATACCAACTTTCCAAGTATCTTTGTCAGATTATTTTTCTGACCTTTGAATCGAGAAAATACAATTGTCCAAGAATTAGCAATACCCCTTTTGGGTCTATGTACGAAAGATGCTCAACCATACCATAAGGACACGTGACGAACTATGTTCACAGGAGTATTACTTTATCATAGCCAGGATCTGAAAACAAACCTAAATACACCTCTTCTATATATATGATAAATGAGCTATATCATTCTACACAATAGCTGCAAATATCATAAAAATATCTTTGAGTAACTCTAATCACAGAAATTGAAAAACCTGTATAATAAGAACTTTAAATCTTTGAAGAAAGAAATTTAAGACATCAAAAAATGGAAAGATCTCCTATTTTCTTGCTAAGATAGAGCCAACACAGCAAAATTGACAGTCTTACTGAAATCAATCTACAGATTCAATGCAAATGCCCATTAAAATTATAACAAAATTCTTCATAGACCTTGAAAGAACAATTCTCAACTTTATAAGAAAAAAAATAAAAACTCAGGATAACTTAAACAATTTTTAAATCCTATATAATCAAGGAACTTCTGAATGCATCACAATCTATGACTTTAAAACTTCACTACAGATCTACAGTACTGAAATCAATCCACTTTGGATACAAATTCACATGCCTATAAACAGCAGACTTTTGACAAAGAAGCAAAATTGTGAAATGGAAAACAAACATGTTTAACCTTTTTATTTATATCTAATTGACCTGAAGCTGCAGTTCTCAGAGGCTACCTTATTTCAAACCTGTCTTTCAGTTTCCAGTTGAAGCTGCACCTCACTGGAAGGGGTAGGACACAGGCTCTCTCCTCCTGCCAGCCTGCCTTTTCAAGCTCTTGTGGGTGGATTTTTAGCTATCTTTTTTATTTTAACTTGTAATCATAAAATTAAGAGAATTTATGAATCCTTTCCTCTGTGCTATTGATTGACTCTGGGGTACTGACTATGTGAGGTTAAATTTGTTCTCTAACCTTACTTTTATCTCCTGCTTGCTCCCCCCCCCACAAGTGTGTTAGATTATCTGGCTACTGTGCACACGTGGCTCTTCAATCTCAGCAGTAAACTGGTGATCGTTTTGGGCTAAAAGTCATTTTCCTTCACTTTTTCTACCTGTTTATGTAGTATGAGGCGAGCAGGCTGCATCCCACCACCCTGCTAGCTTAACCCCTGAAATAAACACACAGGAATTATATTAATTAAATTACTGACTGTCCCATTAGCTCTATTGGCTAACTCTCACATCTTGGTTAACCCGTTTATAATAATCTGTGTAGAACCATGTGACTGTGGCTTACTAGCAAGATTCTAACCTATATCCATTTAAGGCCGGAGATTCATGGCATCTGCCTGTCTCTGCCTTCTTCCTTCTAGAATTCAGTTATGTCCTCCCTGCCTAAGTTCCACCCTATCAAAAGGCCAAGGCACTTTCTTTATTCAGCCAAATGAAAGCAATACAAATACAGAAGGATGTTTTAATAGGAGCAGCCGCCCGCACTGCTAGTGTTATACCCGAAATAATTACACTGAAACTGTACTCTTCTAAACCCTGCCTGGCCCATTAGTTCCAGCCTCTTATTGGCTAACTCTTACATATTGATCTAACCCATTTCTAATAATCTCTGTAGCCCACGAGGTGGCTTACCAGGGAAGATCTTAACCTGCGGCTGTGTCGGGTGGGAGAATCATGGCAACTGCCTGACTCAGCTTCTTTCTCCCAGCATTCTGTTCGGTCTACTCCACCTACCTAATTTTCTGTCTTATCGGGGCCAAGGCAGTTTCTTTATTAACCAATGAAAGTAACACATAGACATATTTACCTCCTCCATCAGAAGGCCCTCCTACACATTTAGCGAATGATAAAAGTTGTAATTCTGCATCTATCATGCTTATAGATCTAATGTCTCTGCCATTGTTTCTGCCCTACTCTTATAATTCCCTTTAGATATCAACATATATAACTGAATACTTTTTCCTTATCCCGTTTATATAAATTTTTTACAATTTTTTTTCTCCCTGATTTAAATTTTGTCCCACTTTTCTACATTCCTTTAAATTCTGATCTCTATTTCTGAGCGCTCAATACTCACATATCCACCAATTTTTTTTCTCATGGGCTCCTCATATCTGGTCAACTTCTTTCTTGTTTTTTAGTGTTTGCAGATCAGCCTCACGTCTAGGTCCCATTATGCCAGGGTTTGATGGTAGCCCGGACTTCAATTATTTCTCTCAACTAGACCCCAACATACACTATCTCTCTCTGGCCGGGCGGTGGTGGCACACGCCTTTAATCCCAGCACTCGGGAGGCAGAGGCAGGCGGATCTCTGTGAGTTTGAGACCAGCCTGGTCTACAAGAGCTAGTTCCAGGACAGGCTCCAAAACCACAGAGAAACCCTGACTCGAAAAACCAAAAAAAAAAAAAACCCCAAGAAACAAAACAAAAACA